TGGTCGATTAGATACAAAAACTTCTACCAGGTATTCTAGTCACAAAAGGCGAAAAGTAGCTTAACTTTGACACCTCTTGAGTTGCCATAGAAACTATCTCTTTTAAATTTCGAAATCATCTGATTCTGTTTATAATAAAAACGTCCGATTCTTTACCCGCATTTTCTAACTTCTTTTAGCCAAAGTCAAAGACGGGAGAATAAGCGCGATCTATGACCAGGCCATTAGAAAAATCAGGAAAGCCGCTGTATATTCGACGGTATTACACCCATCCTTCCAATGGTGCGCTGCGCGCATGCCGCATTCGTTGTGTTAGCCACTGTATTTTCTATGCCATGGTATAAAATAATCATGCAAAGCTCTTTTGTGGCATACCATGGAATATCCCACGAGTCACTGGTATATTTTCTCGGTATTCACCCTTGTCTAAAGGCTCATGTTTATACCAAGAGAACACAAGTGGTTCCTAAGATAATCCATGGTGTACCATGCGTTGCATAAGTAGTGTTTTTAACTGACTTANACTCTCCGAAGTACACGTCCAGTGGCATAACCACTCGCCCACGCTGCCTCATTTGAAGTCTTTTAAAATTGCTCTTAGCTTAACCCTAGAATCTTTTAATTTGAATAATTTTCAAAAAAAATTGTCGAAGGTGGTTATTTGGTCGATTAGATACAAAAACTTCTACCAGGTATTCTAGTCACAAAAGGCGAAAAGTAGCTTAACTTTGACACCTCTTGAGTTGCCATAGAAACTATCTCTTTTAAATTTCGAAATCATCTGATTCTGTTTATAATAAAAACGTCCGATTCTTTACCCGCATTCTCTAACTTCTTTTAGCCAAAGTCAAAGACGGGAGAATAAGCGCGATCTATGACCGATTATTTGCCTCGACAGGCCATTAGAAAAATTAGGAAAGCCGCTGTATATTCGACGATATTACACCCATCCTTCCCATGGTGCGCTGCGCGCATGTCGCATTCGTTGTGTTAGCCATTGTATTTTCTATGCCATGGTATAAAATAATCATGCAAAGCTCTTTTGTGGCATACCATGCAATATCCCACGAGTCACTGTATATTTTCTCGGTATTCACCCTTGCCTAAAGGCTCATGTTTATACCAAGAAAACACAACTGTTTCCTAAGATAATCCATGGTGTACCATGCGTTGCATAAGTAGTGTTTTTAACTGACTTAAATACAAAGTTAATATCTTTAATACAAATTCCAAATTACATTACATTGAACAAGTCAATCCAATGAATCTGAGGACAGCTTAAAACAGAATACAAGATTACTCTTAATATAAGCCGCCTAAGTGTATCATTGTATGATTGTATACCCAGTTAAAAATTACTCTAAACTCATATTACTACCTTATCTGCAGTTTGTCCTTGTTCCCTGTAGTACTGGAAGTTCACTCCATCGTTACTGTACTGCAGTTTGTACTTGGTAACCCAATGCTCGTAGTCAAGAGTATCTCTACCTTGCGTTGCGACGCCTGACACTTTAGTGTCCTGAATTTTAAGATCAACCTGGAGCCACTGATCGGCATTATTTGAATAAGTTACCCAACTTCCCGCGCTGGATGAACTAACAGGTAAGCGTAGTCTGGCCTTTATAACGCCATGATAGGTGTCATCATATTCCGAGGAAGCGCTAAGCTGTTCGTCCAAGATGGCACCGCTTTCCATTCCAAGAGCCGGCTGACATTCTAAAGATTTTAAAGACGCGATAAAAAACACATCGTTACTGTAGCCAAACGGTATTTACTGTCAAAAAATTTCCACAATCCTTCGATCAATAGGAGATAATCTCGTTACCGCGATTTTTTAAGAACATTTTCATGTAAGCTGCTAAATAGAGGATATTACACGGTGGCGAGAAGATATGAATTTTATGTTCGAGAGGCAAAAACAATATCTCACTTAGGGGGGAAAATATTTCAAGCCACACCCCAAAACGTAACAGGATCTTGCTACCTCTTATGGGCTCGGTTAAAAATTTTCCACGAGCAACCCCGCCCTATTCATATGGGTTCCCCCCC